GCTTACATTTTTTTATTTTTTAAATATATTTTTATTGATTTCAGAGAGGGAGAGAGAATCATTGCTCGGCTGCCTCATGCACGCCCCCTACTGGGGATCAAGCCCGCAACCTGGGCATGTATCCTTGATGGGAATGGAACCTGGGACCCTTTAGTCCACAGGCAGACACTCTATCCACTGAGCCAAACCAGCAAGGGCACTTACATTTATTTTAAAAGGAAAATTTTACCATCAGCATAAATGAGAAGTTAGTATAATATTACTTGCTCTAAATAAGTTACTTAAAAATAAATAAATGACTGTAAAAGCAAGTTCATTCTTGTGTACCTAAAATCATCTAAAGTGTTGTTCAAACCAAAAGCCTGGGGGTCATAGTTTACTCCTCTTTCTCTCATGTGTCATAGGCAATCTGACAACAAATTGAACCAGTTCAGATTTCTAAATATCTAGAATTGTGCTACTTCTCACCATCTTCACTGCCATTACCCTGGTCCAAGCTAGTATTATCTTTTGCAGGATTCTTGGAATAGCCTCCTAGCTGTTCCTGCCCTAGCTCCCTTCACTGTGTTCTTCACACAGTAGTCAGAGGGATCCTGTTAAAACAAGTCAGATTCTGTTACTCTTCTGTTTAGAACTCCAGTGGCTTTTTTATGTCACTCAATAATAGTTGAAGTCCCTAATTTTCTGCTGCAGCTGACTTGGCATGGTTGCTCTTCTTTGATGCTGTGGGCAAGGTCCTCCTTCAGGGCTTTTGCACCTGCCTATTTCCTCTGCCTGGAAGATTCCCTCCCACTGCCCCTCCATACGTCAGGCTCCCTCATTTTCAGGTCTGTAGTCATGACTCCTGATTGCAGTAAGACTTGCCTTGATCACCCTATTTAAAATTGTAACTCCTCCTTTCATTACTTTGTGCTCCAGAACAGTACCATCCCTCATACTACATAATTTGCATGTTTATTTTATCAATTATATGTGTCCCACTAGAGTGTAAGCACCATGAGGGCAGGCATTTTTGTTTTGTTCATTACTTATTCCCCATTGCCTAGAAAAGTGTCTGAGATATAGTCGATACTCAGATATTTATTCAAATTGAATTAATAGTAGCATGCATCCCACACTTTGGGAAATACTGAGATATACAGGGAACTTCTTCCACCATCTTGAGTCCCTTTAGTAGGTCTTTGTTCACAGTCCTATATTGAGCTACTTGTCTCCGAGAGTCTAGCCAGTTGGGGGGCTCAGCATGTAAGGCAAAGAAAGCTTGTGACTTGCCTGGATCCTGAGTTTTATCCAGAGGAATAGTCCAAATTCCAGAGAGAGCAACCCTAGGAGAGTCGCTCTGTGCCCTCCTACAGCCTCATCCCTCTCTGGCCCCAGTACCTAGGCTCTGTTCTGGAAGACACCCAGGAAGGGCTCAAGCCTCAGTCTAAACTCGGGAGTAGTGGCTGGAACGTGTGAGGTGTGTACTTCCTTGTCAGGCTTTGAGTTTTTAGAAACGAAACAAGTATATCAGAGAACTGACTACCCTCTTTTAGCTTCTCTTTTAAGAGAGAAACTACGGCTTAAATAATTGAAAATGTTATCCTTGGTGCCTTTGATTGACTCTTAGTGATCAAGAGGACGTTGTTATTTGAAGCAGTCAGGACAACTCTTCCTCCTAAGGAGTTTGAGAGTCATTCTAACAAATGAGCACAGAAATATGTAATAAGATCAAAACAAAAGAAATCGTTTCTTGTCTTCAAGGCGCTTTTTTTAGCAATTGATAGTGATGGTTTTCATCTAATTAATGGACCCAAATGAATCAGCATTTCCACATGTAATCCCTTTATGAAGTTCGTCAAAGACACGGAAATGGGGTGGGGTGGGGTGACTTTCTAGTTTTGAGTATGTCTTTCTTGGTTCAGTTGTCACTTCACCTGTAACAAAACCATAAGCCCCTTCCTTCCGGTTGTGCTGGTCGATTACAAATAGATTGGAAAGCAGCAAATTTGAGGTGCAACGACTTTCAGCATTATTTGCATGTTAGCATCTTCATTCCCAGGTAGTGATAATGAGCAACTAACTCTAGGTTTACAGGTTCCCCTGGAGTTGCTAGTATCTTGAATTTCTTTCCATTTATTTTAGGAGTAAAAGTCCCTCGCAATTTCCGACTGTTGGAAGAACTCGAAGAAGGCCAGAAGGGAGTAGGCGATGGCACAGTTAGCTGGGGTCTAGAAGATGACGAAGACATGACACTTACACGATGGACAGGCATGATAATTGGGCCTCCAAGAGTAAGCGTCGAGCTACGGCTATAAATGTCAATGTCTTAAATTCACTGTGCCTCCTTTTAAAAAATATTACCTTATCACGGAAAAAGCTCACCAATGGTATATTTTCTGAAATGTGGCTATTCTTTTTTGACCAGTTTCAGTTTATATATTTGAACCTCCTCAGATGCTGTTTAATCCCTCTAAATGGTAAGCAAAAACCTGTTTAGACTCCTAGTGTGAATTTACATGACAATGTAGACAGTGAGGTTTGAGGTAATTGTACCCTCCGATGTAGTTTAGAACAAACTCGGGTTTATCAGATAAAAGGCTCCAGATGTAGCCAACATACCTGAAGACAGTGTCCAGATGAACCTTGGAAAGCCTTCACAGTTGTGGTTTTTATTCATTGTTCCCCAGTTCTAATATACATCTGTATCCTAATTTTTGGGGCCACTCAACGAAGGGTTATTGCCTGCCTGGTCCACTCTGATCTATTCCAGGCACTCTTAGGCCCAGAGGCCTTAGCAAAGAAGAAGACGGTGGAAAATGACCTCTCTTTTAGAGCCTTGTGATTTGTGAGAGTTCCCAGTCTTCATAAAATCAGCTAACTTTTTTATTAATGACACATAGTAAGCTCCGCAGAAATGTCATTTAATTCTCGTAAGAACCTGTTGTTAGGTGCTACTGTTGTGTAGTTGCGTTCTGTTTTACAGATGAAGAAACAGATTCACAGATGTTATTTGCCCAAAGTCACATCGCTAATTCCCAAAACAGGACTAACTCCAGAGCCTGTGCTCTTAACCACTCTCCTACATTGTGTCCCTCCTGTTTATAGTTTGAGTTTTCCTCTGTTGCCATTATAGTATTATCCAGTTTAAGTAGTAATGTGATGTAGGAGTGAAGAAATAGATTACCGTAATATGATACATTTTCAGACAAGCAGTAGAAGAATCTGCCTGAATGCAGCTGGGCCTTTCCTGTGTCTGCTTGTGCTTAAGGATGATTATGTTCATTCTTTTGTCTGCGTGTAAGGCTCTGCACCACCTCTGTAGGTGATAGAAAGTCACCTGGGATGTGGCCCCAACTGAAAAGAAAGTGTCCTGCTCATAAAGTGTTAGGACAATTTAATGCTGATCTTAGGCTGTCACACACTCATGGCAAATGACTGACTTTGCCACTTAATGTAACTTCCCGAGTCATTTTAGTAACACTATCGTTTTGTTTTGGAGGTTTTTTTAAAAATCTGTTTTTACTCATTTCTTGATCTTTTTTTAAATCTATGAAAACCAGGATTTTCTGGACCTATTAAATACTGGGGAAAACCTGATCTAGAAAACTCATTTCTTCATGGAGATCATTTTTCTTGCTGCCTCTGAAAGTCCATTGTATGGTGATGGCTCCCTTCACTACATTTCATCTCTTTCTAAGAGTGGTTTAGATTTCTTGAGGATGAGAACAGTTACTCCTTAATCTCCAGAACACCTGGAAGTGACTAAGAATGGGCTAGTTGTTCAGTAGATTTGTTAATCAACGGATCGGTTTTCAGGTTCTAACAACCTAATAGTGAGTCCAAGTGTACAACATTGTGAATACACTAAATACCACTGAATTATACACTTAAACAAATAAATGAACCACTAAGTTCTGTTGAAAATATTCTATTATACCTAAAGCACTTTATTTTTTTAAAAAATATTTTTTTAATATATTTTATTGAGTCTAAAGCACTTTATTTTTTTAAAAAACATTTTTTTTAATATATTTTATTGATTCTTCACAGAGAGGAAGGGAGAGAGATAGAGAGATAGAACATTGATGAGAGAGAAACATTGATCAGCTGCCTCCTGCACATCTCCCACTGGGGATGTGCCCGCAACCCAGGTACATGCCCTTGACCGGAATCGAACCTGGGACCTTTCAGTCCGCAGGCCGATGCTCTATCCACTGAGCCAAACCGGTTTCGGCCTAAAGCACTTTAGATCACCTTGAGCTTTAGTTTATCTCTTTCAAAAGGGGCTAACTTTTCATGAAATAATTTCAGTATGCAAGATACTTTCCATACATCCTTTTTTAAAAATAACAGCTTTATTGAGATAATTTACATATCCTAGAATTCACTTACCATAGAATACACCTTTAAAATATAAAAAACTAGTTCAGTGGTTTTTTTATTATACTTAAAACTGTGCAACTATCACTAATTTCAAAACATTTTAATTATCCCAGAAATAAACCCCATCCCTGTTGGCAGTCACTCCCATTCTGTCCCCCACTCCTCACCCTTGACAATCACTAATTTACTTTTTATCTCTATGAATTTATTTGTTGTAGACATTTCATATAAATGGAATTATATAATATGTGGTCTTTTATGATTGACTTTTACTTACTGTAATGTTTTCAAGGTTCATCCATGTAATAGCATGTAAATTTTTATGACTGAATAATATTCCATTATATGGATATACCATATTTGTTTATCCATTAATTAGTTGATGGATATTTTTATTTTTCCAATCATGAAAAATGCTGCTATGAACATTTGTGCACAGGTTTTTGTGTGGACTAATATTTTTTATTCTCTTTATACCTAGGATGGAATTGTTGGAAAATATGGTAATTCTGTGTTTAACATGTTAAAGAATTGCCCAAACTGTTTTTCAAAGTGGCTGCACCATTTTACATTTCCACCAGTAACGCAACAGAGTTTCAATTTCTCTACATCCTCAGTTATTGTCTGTCTTTTAACTCCTATCATTTTGTTGCCCTGACTTTGCAAGGTTAAAAGCAAAGTCATAAAAGCAACTATTTGCTTCTATGTGGTTCCTGTGACCAGTATGTTTTAAGATTAGAATACAAGGTATATGCAGTTATTAAAGCATCTAATAGAGCACTTGAGTAACTCATTTCCCTATTAAATTTTTATTATTGTATTATTAAAAAGAAAATCCATTAAAATTTAAAAGATGTAGCCCTAGCCGGTTTGGCTCATGGTTAAGTGTGTTGGCCCATGGACTGAAAGGTTGCAGGTTTGACTCCGGTCAAGGGCACATACCTCAGTTGCAGGCTCGATTCCTGGCCATGGTTGGGCGAGGGAGGGAACCAATCGATGTGTTTCTCTCACATTGATGTTATTCTCTCTGTGTCTCTCCCCCTCGCTTCCACTCTCTATAAAAACCAATAAAAAAAAATACCCTCAGGTGAGGATTTAAAAAAAAATTTTTTTTT